GTAGTATCTAAATCGTAACGACCTACTAGGTTAGTATCCCTTAGACTAGACACTTACGGCTAAGCGGATACGTAACTAGCAAACGGCAGCGATATACGTAAAGGCATAAGAAAAGATTCTAGCCGCAGAGCTAGTAGACCCTATTACTAGCGAAATAACTGCGCTACTATAATACTCTACGTAGATCGCGTCGACGGTAGACTTTTAAACCGAATGCTAGTACTAGCCCGAGCGTACGCTTATAATCGTCTATAACTAAGACACTATTATATAGAAGCGTAAGACGAGCAGAGAGTAGAAGGATTATTATAATACGCTATATAGCTACTAGGGCGACGAAGGCTTAAATCTAAATAAAAAGGCCCTACGATATAAGTAGGGCGCCGAGCTAAGCGAGACTATAGCAAATAACAAGCAAGACGCGCTAGGTATAAACGCGGCGTAAGATAAGCAAGACGATATCGAGCTATAGCCTATAATGTCTAGCGCAACGATCCTAATAAAAGATACTAAGAAGTAGGACATTATAGCGAATACCGAAGCTAACCTACCGCTACCTAAGGGCTGTTACTTTAAGGACTCCCTATAGAAGCACTAGCCGACGCTAATCTAGGCGGTACTCGCGAATGTTTTCCCGTAAAAGATAACGCTCGACGCTATCTATAAGGACGTCTAGACCCTCCTTAGACATATAATAATAGCGCGTTCCGTCGATAAGGAGCTTAGTAGGTAGGTAGAAGACGAGAATAGTATAGTAATTATAGTAGACGGCGAATAGGTGCTTACCTTATACGGCTAAGTAGTATATAAAAAGGCGGTAGGCAAGCTTCCCTAGGCGGATACTAAGCTATTACGAGATCGCGTATACTAGCTAAAGACTATTAACGAGCGATAACCGCAAAAGGCTACCGAGTAGCTACGACTACTAAAGGACGTTAGCAACGTAGAGGACGCCGCTACTAATAAGTCGCCGAAGGATATACCTAAGGACGCCGACTATAAGAAGGAGATAGGTCTAGTCGCTATATTATCGACCGTAGTAGGAAGTAAGGCTCTAGAATAGGACACCGAGATATAGGACTCTATAGAGGTATAAGAACGCAATAAAGAGCTCTAGGAGGTAGCAATAGAGGCAATTTTAGCCTACGTAATAGAGCCTATAACAGTAGTATAGCTAACCGAGGCCGTCCCTATCGCGTTCCTAAATATAAAGACTATACTAGACGCTAAGTTCGCGTAGAAGTTACTAGAAGCTAACGTCGGTATAAGCCTTACCGAAGTAGGCGACGCGTTTATTCTAACCTCGAAAGGCAGGTTAGGGGCGAGGATTCGCGTAATAGAAACTACCTACTTTAACGACAAGTGCAATCTAAGATAGTACGTTATAGCGAACGACCCTAAGGCAGAAACGCTCGCGTAAACGTACGATAAGGAGACCGAGTATAACGATGCCCTAGCCCCTATCGACTATAACTCTCTAGTATATAACGACGCTTACGACGACGGCGACTCTCTAGTACGCCAAAATGCTAATAATAGCGACGACTTATAGTATAGCGATTAGAACGACAGTAAGCGACTATAATACTCGATCCTAGACAGCGTCGATATAAATAGAGATATTCGAGACGCTATAAAGGCATTAGGCGCCTACTAGCGTACTACTACCCTCTCCTATATAATAATAGTAAACGCCGTTAAGGTCGCTATAAAGGAGAACAACAATATTATCGAGCGTATTATAATAATAGATAGGTTAGCCTATATAAGACAAATTACGCTCTAACTAGTATATAAACACTAATTCCTTAGCTCGGCATATAAGACTACTTATATAAACGAGTACTTTAAAGAATTTATTAGCGACTTTTACCCTACTCTAGCACCTAGTATAGACCTACGTAGTAGGCTCTAAGCTATATTCGACCGCGTCTAGGGATACTATAGAGGCCCGCTAGTCTTAGAACCGACCCTATTACTCTATACGCTACTATAGACGCGTATAGTAGCAAAGCACGACGCTAACCCCCTAGCCGCTAACTATAAAAACGAGACATCGGACGAGCCTATCGATTATACCGAGCCTACCGATAGCGCCGATCCTACTACCTACGATAAGCCTACTAACGACACTAAGGACAATTAGGACTCTATATAAGCTATTACTAAGGACGCTAACGTTTAGGACCTTATATAAGCCGAGGACTATACTAATAACGCTAGCGACGTATCTACTATCGACGACGCGATAGATACGCCTAAGGGATAAAAGGAGGACGACGATAAGGAGGACGCCCTAATAGACGTAAAGGAGGAGAAGTAGCGCCGTAGAGCGGCTAGAGTAGCTAAGATAAATAAGGGTAAAGCAGACAAGGACGACGATTAGGAAGACAGCCTAGCTATTATAGATAAGAAGAAGGTGCGCCGTAGAGCGGTTAATATAGATAAGGATAAGAACTTCTAGCGCTCTAGTATATAGTATACCGGTATAGAAGACTAGTTAGAGTCGCAGTATTAAGCTAATATAGTAGTACTAATATATAACGCGCTAGGATTTAAGATAATAGATTATATACTACCGATAGGTACCCGCTTATCCGACTTTAAATTAGGAATAATATACCGCAAGGTCGACGATACTACTATTAGCTTAAAGGATCTTAGAAAGTAGTATACGTACTCCGTCGAGGCATAGGGATATCTACGCTCTAAGCGCAAGCTAATTAGCCCGCCGTACCTATACTATAAGTAGCATCCTAACGGAATATATAAGATTGCCGCTATTACCTATCGTACTATACTTATAAGTAGCGGCACCTTCCGCTATAAGGCCCTAGATTAGGTTACCTAGACGCATATCGATAATATAAGCAACTAGGCGATAATTACGACTATAATACCGCTAGATATCGAGAGCGAAACTAAGCTAGTTACCTCTTTACGCTAATAGCAGGCGCGCTAGCGGAAGTACTATAAGGACCTAAACTACGACCTATATAAGAAGTAGCTCTAAATTATTTCCCTGTCCTACCTTACCTTTAAGGCCGCTATAGTAGAGTAGCTAACGGAGATTAATATCGAGGCAATCCTAGACTACGCCCTTACGAATATATAGGCCTATAATACGACTAACAAAGACGGTATACTAACGGATGTCGCGCTCGACTATTTCCTACGTATAGTATATCTCTAGCTATAATTAGGCTATATACCGAGCGTAGACCGCGATTAGGTTGCTATTTGTAACAAAAAGGGCCTACTACTAAAAGACATTAAGTATAATTACGCTACGGAGGACGCAGATCTAGTAAAGTTATACCGCGGACTAGGGCGTATAGGCATTATAGAACGATACTAGTCGCTTACCGACGAGTAACGCGCCGACCTATACCTCTACCTACCGGACAAGCTCGCTATAGCTATTAAGTCTAAGACTCTCGTTAGTACCGCAGCTGCTAACGAAGAAGCGCTAGCTACGCTATAACTATCGGAGAAGTATAAGACTAAGTCGCGGTACGGCGCCGCCGACGCCGGTACCCTTACCCTAGCCTCTAAGGGCAAAGGTAAGGCCTTCCCTCTACTAAAAGGCAAGGATAAGAATAAGCTACCGAAAATCTAGACACGCTAACCCTTTAATCGCGCCTTATCCCTACTAGCCTCGGCATCCGCCTCGATACCTATATCCGAAACGCTAAAGCAAGTCTAGTACGTCGGCGTACGTAAGATATAAGACAAGAGTAGTAGAACAAAGCGCAAGCGAGCTAGCGCTAGTACTAGCGAGACATTTAACTAAAAGAGACGACGCTAATATACAAACTTTATAACTAGCTCCGATACTAAGGCTACGCTAAAGTCGGCTACTAAGAAGACGCGTACTAAACTAGTAGACTTAAACTAAAAAGAGGAGGATATACTCGAGACGACGAGAACGTATAATACGAATACGAGCGGTAAGGAAAACGAGTAAAAGCGGAAGGAGTATATAAGAAGGGGTTTAGCTAATATAGTACGCTAGCCTTCGTTCTATCGGATAGGGATGCTATTACGGCAGGGACGGTACGCTAGCTAAGCCCGGTATATACTTTCCGTAGAACCGTAGATACTTACCCTAATACTATACTATTACCTAACTACTAATCGTCCCTTATATAATATTAGCTTCCTAACCCTAAGCTCTACTACGGCTAAATCCGAGACTTAATCGGATAGTATCGCCGTTCTACTAGTAATACAATCTACTATAGAGCTATACTATATTTAGTATTAGAAGTAGAACCTAATAAGAGTAGAGCTAGGAGAGGTATTCGACGGACTTAACTATAGACTTCGTTAAGGAGATATTAAGAGACTATAGCTACTAAAGTTAAACGTTAATAGCGTTATAGATACGAATACAATTCTAGTAACTATAAAGAATATAGCTCCTATTAAAACTAGTAGTAGTAATGCTGTAAAGTAATAGACTAAGTAATAGTCGTTTTATACTAGTATAGAAGCTGCGCCGTCGCAATTTATATCGCTACTTTTATAACCTTTATCGTCTCTTCTATAACTACTCTAATTATTATCTCTAGTATTACTTTTATTTTTTACTTAATATTACTACTATATCTATTATCTTATCTACTATAACATTCTAGACTTTTAAATATTATATTAGAAACTATCTAGTCTTAGTAGAAGTAGTAGCCTATTAGAAAATAGGAATTATAGTTATAAAATAGACTTAATATAGATAGTTATAATAATTTTTATTATTTTTGTAAAAGTTATCTGTCTGATTTGTTTTATCTATTCTTCTATATACCAGAACTGCTTTTAAACCCCCCTATTTATTAATAGGATTTTATAGTAAAAATTCGAGCGGTCTAATAGTACCCGCTATGTGGCTACGGCTCCTCGGAAGCCTGCGATAGGTGCGGCGAAAGCACCACCTCCGAGCACTCCATCGTCACAGACCTTCATAGCATCTGCTTCCCAGCTACAACAAGCTCTCCGCCATGGCATCAAAGCTATTGAATGCGCTATTGCGGCTTCCGCCGACTGCTCGTACCTGCTTCACCGCTATTTTGAAGCCTACACCGAGCCCGCTTTCGCATCTCACAACGCGTGCCTTCTCCGCCTCCACTACACGACAAGCAACATACAACCAGGTCCTACGAGGCTGCCGAAAAGGTCTCAAGGCCCGGAAGCCAACATCGCCGCAACTGGCAAACACCAAATGTCCCGAGATGAAAGGCGTGTGTCTGAGAGTAGGAGTCACGAAACCAAAGAAGCCCAATTCAGGCGAGCGGAAAGTTGCGAGGGTGCGATTGAGTAGTGGAAGTGTGGTCACGGCATATATTCCTGGTGAAGGGCACAATATACAGCAGCATTCCGTTGTGCTGGTAAGAGGTGGTAGAAGTCAGGATTGCCCAGGTGTGAAGTACCATCTTGTGCGTGGAGCAATGGACTTGGTATGATCCTTCATGGCCAGCCTCAATGTGCATTCTATGCTAACAAACACATGCAGGGTGGTGTTGGCAACAGGGTTACCAGTCGATCGAAGTATGGTACCAAGAAGCCCAAGGCGGCTTAAGTTGGCATTGAGGCTGCCTATCCATTCCTGCCAACGCTGGACTGAGACATGTGCGCTTCGAGATTCGAGGACTGAGCTGTGCTCGATAGCAGAAACGAATTGCTTTCGCCGTGTTGTCCCAAAATTCACCAGGCAGAAATGCCTGCCGGAAAACCCTACAGGAAGCAGAAATCAGCGTCGAATGATCGCTTGGCATCCGAAGCGACGGTTACACTGTCTCACGCAACGAGCGGAGCTCGGCAAAGCCGTCTGGGCTGAACTGCGTTGAAGCCGATGTGGTTCAAGCCGGATCGCGATGCGAGTATAGCTACGGGCGGTCCGAAGCACACACATGCCAGCGTCAATGCTCAACCACAACTATTTGAGATGTTTCTCGTCGAGCTGCCAGGACGACCTTCGATGATGCTCGGCAGACGAATTTCGCCATCGCATTGGCTCATGAAATGGCTGAAAATACGAGTTCTTGTGCAACGCAGACACGCTCTTCGATTATAAGAGAGCTGACTACATCGTTGGCCGTTCCAGTCCTGAACGCTTCATTCAAACATTACAATCAGGACAGTACACAAAGGCGCTTCGAATTTTGCTCAGTCATCAAAATGTTCAAGACTCCCTTCCTTGTCCTGCTGGTCGCAAGCTTCTCGTCAGTTCCGATATCCTTTGCTCAAATCCGTCGTCCCAAACTTATCCATTCCATCTAGTCTCGCTTCGAAAGACGATTGTCCCTGCTACAAATCCACAACTACGGTCGTCCACCCAACTTGCACTCCTTGGGCTGGCATCTGTCCTGCCATCATCTGCGCTACCCCAACGGCGACTGTGACCAAGACCGTACCCAGAAATGCAAATGTAAGTCTCGGATTCAGAAATGCGCGACCTGCCTAAACTCGCCTAGGCTTTAACTCGATGCCGAGACAAGAATGTGCCGACCGTGACGGCATACAGCCCTTGCACGACTGATTGTGCGCCCATCACTTGTCCAACTGCGACAGCCACTGTTGTTGGGAAGGAGAAGCAGTGTTGCACTGCGTGGTAGAAATAAGAAACTGAGGACATCTTGTGGAACGAAATTTCTAGGGTTATCAGGATCAGAATAGGAATATGGTTGATTTCTGTTGGCTCTGTTGCGGGAATGAGATAGCATCTTTGAATTGGAATGACTCATCGCTTCGATCTATCTATCCCAAATTTCGATTAATGTTGTCGCTTTTGACCATTGCCATGTTCATTTTCGAAATTTAGAAGCTATGTTCTGCTGACTAGAGATCATGGGCTGAATATCACAAAGCGATCGATCAAAAAAACCTCTGTGAAGTCTAGAACGCGCGGAAGTCAACAAGCAGTTGATTCTAGCGATTTCGATCACATGAAGCAAGCACATGAAACTAATAACCCCCCCCCCCCCCCCCCCCCCCAACATAAAGGAATCATTTTCAAAGATTCATCATCCTGAACGCATTCAAATGATTACTGCCCCTGAGATTTGAACGTAGGACCTTCAGTGTGTGAGAATTACATCTGTGATGTTGTTAAGATCCATATGTCCATGTTTACTTGAGGCGAGAGCAAGACTGAAGCTTACGATAACCGCTAAGAGAAATGTTAGAGTCATATTCGAACCAGATTGTTTGGTGAAGAGGTAGGCTTACACTACACCAGGGCAGCGAGATTGTTGATTGGATGGTAGGATGGTAGGGAGGTTCGTGTGAGAAGGGAAGATAAGAGATGGGACAAGATGAGAACTTGTAAAGAGGGTTGGTTGGGTGAGTGAAATGCCAAGATTTCTAACGACGTCGGCGAGGTCTCGTACATTCATTCTTGTAATTGTACACTACAACATTCATCATATACCATACCATCAACCCTTCCTAAACCCCAGCATCCCAGTTTTCGGCACCGCAGGCTTGACACTGTTCAAGACAACCACGACTCCCAAAGCCAACGTGACAGTAGGTAGGAGCCAAGGACTGAACGCGAAGTCCGTGCCGGCGGATGTATTTCCAAGTGTAGCAAGCAAACATAATCCACACCCGATGACACTGCTCGCGATTAATCTTGCGAGTTGTAACCTGCTCTTGGTACGTTTGCTCAAACCTGCGATGACGCAGCAGAGGATGACGACCAGACCGATGGAGATGAAAAAGTATCCATACGTGAGTCCGAAGACGCCTGCGGTTCTCGAAGTTGCGTTTATGACGGCTGCTGTAGCGTTCTCGTCGGCGAAATCCATTTTCAGGGCATCGGAGCTTTCGGTTAGTTCTGCGTCGATGTCGGTTTTTCCTTCGATGGGGCTGTCGAAGCCGGCGATGTTGAAGATGGTCTTGAATAAGGTGAAGTAGATCCAATCGAGAGCGTCGCCTGCCAATGCAGTGTTGTTGGCACCATTGGCTATTGTTCGTGAGGCGTTCGCAGCATTCGGGATGTCTGGTATGAGCTCTAAGGTTTCCTTTAGGTTCTTGGAGACAAGGAGACCGCGATGGAGGAGCTTCGTAGCGGTCTTGTTGACTCTTCTTCCAGCTTCTGCGAAGTTGCCCTGCGAGATGAGGTTGTTCCAGTCCTGGTATTGGTTGACGAAGTGATTGCTTCGAACCACTGCTGCTCGCCAAGTGATGCATTGCGCCATGCCTTCGACAGCAAGGACAAGCGCGATATGTAGAGGGAAATGCAGCAAGGACCAAATTTGCTGCATTATGTTCCCGAAGTGCTCCTCTTCCAGCCAGTCAAAGTAGATCATGTACACGAAGTACAGGATAAGGACACAGCATACGACGTTGGCGACGGTGCTGGTAGTGAATTTCAAAGCCCCTTCGCTTTTCACAATCCGCTGACATTTCGAGGCGAGACTCACCACGCCCTCGCCAAGAATAATGAGGGTGAGAAGGGACATTCGCTCGATCAGATGCGTGCCCTTAAAGCTAATGGCCTTCTTCCAAATCGCTGATACCATTGTTGCTATGATTGACTCCAGGATGGCGACCAAGTACCAGACGACGTAGTAATGACTGTGGCCGTCCTTGTGAAAAGTCCAGAACAGACCGAGGTAGACCATCGCTGCAACGAAGTAGGTTGTTGCAATGAGCGACATTGGTAGAATAGTCTGCTTGTACTGTCGAGTAAGCCACATCGATTGAGTGTACTGAAAGACAAGTACCAGTCGGGAAGCCATGAGGAATAAAGTCAATGCTTTCTATACTTTCTGTCAGCAAGTAGTGGTCTGGACCGAGTGAGAAAATCCTCACGAAATAATAACCAAGAGACGGCTGCGCTCCGTCCACGACTTCTTCATCGCCGGCTCCTTCATGGGCCCTGCCAACGCTGTACTTTGGACCAACAATAGCAAAGCCTATCATGACAAGGAACTGGACCGCCTTGGCAACTCGCTCAAAGATCGAGTCGACCGAAAAGCGAACATCATAGAGACCGACTTGATACCTGAATCGGGTCAGCCGCATGTCAGACGCTGTTTGAGATGCCGACTGCGCTGGTATGATTGCTCACTCACCAGGTCAGCCATAGAATACAAAAGAATCCCACCTAAGCAGAATGTCAGCATACCCGAAGCCCGCTGCGCTTGCGTTGAAGGTCCTTTCGACACACATATTGCTTGAGCGTAGCGCTATTCGTAACTTCGTGAATATTACTGAAAACCGTCAAGTTGGCGGCAAAGAATAGGTCGTAGAAGAGCTCCAAGTTGCTAGCCTCCGTGTGTCTATGGAGCTCTGGGTTCTCATGAATAGAAGGCCGGCGGCTGGTGTCCTCGCACTGCAAAGGCTCCATTTTGCCGCCGTCATTCGAGCTTCGGGTGGGTGTCTGAGCGCGAGACACATTATCAGAGGGGCGAGGACTGCGGACTGGTAGTAGCGTGCTGACACTGTTGTTGTCACGCATGCTTCATCAGAGGCAAGAAAATTGCTCAAGTCATGTCAAAATAATGAATGGGGGTGAGTGACAGACTGGCGAATTCCGAGTTGATGAGAGGCATCCCTATGCACCGACCGTTCCATGATAATGTGAAAGACGTGCTGGGTACGAAGTGTGATATCCTGGTAGAGCCAGGTTGCGCGGTTTGAAATTCAACTTTGAATGTGAGAGGCCCGGGAATTTGGCATTGCATCCGGCTGGTTCTCGTACAGGAGTGTTCTTTTTGAAGCGGCTATGGTCCGTGCGCGACAGGGTGTCAGATATTCTACTTCTTTGGGCCTTCTGTAATCTTTTTATTCTTTCTATCCTTTGTAATAATTTAGTGCCTACAACTCGAGGAAAATCTGTTGGGCTAGGCGTATCGAGTAGCTGGCGAAGAATTGCACCCTCTTTAAGAGCGAGTAAGGCAAAAAGATAAACACCGCTTGTACGGAGGACAACTGTACATGAGATGATGAATGTACGTACAACTGTACAAGTCTTGATAGTGAAACGCATTGGAACTTTTTCGTCGCTTGACTTTCCACGTTTCCTGTTTTGTGGTCTGATGACGCGTCTGACACTTGAAGCTTCCAAATTTCCAAAAGCAGATGCAGATCTGTTTACGGAACACAGCGAAAGCGTTGAAGTTGTGGACCGCACGAACGGATATATTGGTATATATATCTCTTGAATGCTCGGGTCTTCTGCAGATCAGCTTCGTGTTTCGGCAATGTTGGTTGAGATTGAGAAGGGGAGAGAGGGAGAGATGTTGACTTCCAGCTTCGGCAAGACTTACCGTGAGATGGCGGCGCTGGGGGGCCTGGCATTATTGGAGCTACGCTGGGATCGAGACACGGTGATCGACCCGTCCGTGTTCTTATCATCAGGCTATCAGGCTGTCAGGCTGCCGCGGGGATGGGATTACGGCAAGATGCATTCGAGCACGAGGAGGGGTGGCATGATTCACAGGCCCCGGCGGCGGAATGTGACATGAGAACTGAATGTGTGCGGTGTCAAGCATTGGTCTGATAGACGCGTCAAAGCTATATATTCGTGAGAGGTCGCCTGGGCATACAGATCGCCTTTGCATTTGTTGGTCTGCACTTCTTGAGCCACACTAGGATACCATAGGATTTGCGTATGCAATGAGTGGTGCGTCAGTTCATATCCTCTTTGTGAGACAGCAGCGCCACGAGTGCAGTTCTACCTCTACCACTATTGCCGCACGATTGCTTCCGCGGCGGAAAATTTGCTGTTCGTAGCTCTGGGAAGCCCGAGGTGGCATTCTTTCCACTCACCACAGCAGCAGATGGGTTTCATGCGGTCTTCGGCCGCGCCGACACTATTGTTGCAGTGAACAAGTTCGTCCAAACTGAAATCGGCATCCCAAATATATGTGGCTTGCTTCACAGCAGCGGTCCGTTGCTACACGGTGATAGTAGGTTATGGGTGCACCCTTCGGCTTTTACCTTCAATGCTTGCCGCAACGTCGAGACTTTCTCAGATGCACACGGTACAGGAATGCCAAAATATAGTGAAGCTGGCCTTCCGTGAAACAGCTGCGATGTGGTCAACATGAGTCTTGGCAGCAGCGACAAGTTGAGCTATTTTGAAGTGCCTCTAGGGGAAGTAGATATCGATGCAGACACAGCATTCCCCTTGTTGATGTCTTCGAGGCCCCGTTCTAATGTGAATTTGCTTGCAGCAAGCTTCAAAGTTTCTCGAAGATGACGCCAAGAAGTTTTCATACGCTCAGACCCGCTGTCGGCGTATTTCCAGACCAGATTTCTCCTAGGTTTTTGATTGTATTGGTACAGCTCCACTTGCGCGCATCTCACGAGATTTTGATTCGCGACTCGCATAGCGGTGAGCGCCACTCGCACGCGCTGTCTGAGTGTCACCACGTTCCGCAGTATGTAAGGGCAGGGCGGAGCAGCGTACAACTGCGCGAGACATCCTGAAGTCAGGTTTTTTCAACGACCACCTCATCCACCATGCAAGCCCCCAGCCCTCCGTCGAGCGCGAGCGTCAAGGACAACGTCCGCATAACCTGGAGGATTCTGCTGAGATGGTAGCGAGGCAAGAAGGGTGTCTGAAGTACGGCTGATCGGCGCATCTTCCCTGCAACGGGCGATCCGTTCAGGGCAGGTGCTGTGCTGGATCTCTGATACGTGAGATGATGGAGACAACAGAGGGGACAACAAGGAAAACACGGATGACAGTGATATGGTCAGAGCACGCAACGATCGCTCGCGGTCTTGCGCACAGCTTTACTATGACACGACCTCGCAGCCGCCATGGTTCCATTGGGGGCCAGAATGAGTGCATGGATTCCTGGGAGCTTGTCTATCCAATCTGGTGGCACCATCAGATAACACGAAAGCTGACGGGGCATGAAAGGAGATAGCTTTAGCTTTTCTATTGAGAGAGGCTGTTGTTGGACAAAGCTGGCGTGGCTGGCCACTTTGCTCGACAAGACACAGCCAATATAATCAGGCATGGCATCGCTTATCGTTGATGCTGCTTCGGAGTCGAGTGGTATCGTATGGTCAATAATGCAAGGCGCGCTTCCCGTCGGCACTGCAGCGCGGCCGCACGTGAAGGAGGCATTTTCAATCATTCAATGAAATACCGGGCCCGGTTGCAACTCCGACAGCTCTCAGCGGCGCACCCCGGAGAGCGACGCTTAGCTTTGGTGAGGGCGCGGGCGCGGGCGCGAGACGAGCCACTTGGGAGCTCGTGCAGACTGCAGACAGCTGGATGGAAATGTGCAGTGGAAGAAGCGTGGGTGGTATTGACCCGCGATGCCGCTGCCGTTGTGTGCGTGGCTACCAATGTCCGCTCAGCACCCAGCGCCAGCGCGACCTGTGCTGTCCACATGGACGTGATGCCCACCACCGCTTCGTCTCGCGGGCTGTGCTGTAGAATATTCCCTGTTGCCAAGCACCTCCGCCAGCTGCAACTTGCAAGCTATATCCACATCAATGGAGCCACTAGCCCTGCGCCGTGATGAAACCCCGCCCCGCTTGATGGCGATGCCGATAGCCCTTCCTTCCCTGCAGAACGACGTCCTGACCTGCGTTTCAGCAATCGCAAGGGTCGCCGAGATCCAGATCTTTTCCTCTCAACATCACTTCTTGACTCCAAACCACGCTTCACCATCCTGCCCCTAATTCTCATTTCGTACAGCATTCACGTGGGCACAGAGCGCAATCATGGGTGAATAAGGGTCTGCAGCCAGGTAAGCCGCCGAGTTTTTTGCCTTCACTTGTGAGCCTGTCACATGGGCTCGCTTTCAAATTTGTTTGCAACAGCACATGCTCGCTCCGGCAATCAATGTCTTTGCCTTCCCACCCGCGAACTTATCCGAACATCGACATCAACCACCAGCGGACTCGGCAAGGTTACTGCACACTACAATTCCCCTGCACGTACAGATAGACTTCCCAAGGTCCGAGTCATGGCCGACCCTCGCCAGCAGCCACGTCCGGCATATTTCAGCAGGAAGATCTCCAGCTACTTCTTTCCGCAAGTCGCTCGCGATGGAGAAGGCCTTGTTGCAAGGCCAGATCCACCCACTGAACGCACTCCCTTGCTCGAGCCACCCACCAGCATACCCACTATCACAATCTCAACTTCTGACAACAGCGACAACAGGCCGCTGTCGCACTCGATTGCGGATGCGAGTATCCACAGACCGCATCTCCTTCGCGCAGCTACCACCGTAGCTGCCGTACACACCGAAGTCGCATCGACTGTCGCACCCACATTTCCCACTCGCCCAGAGTTGGGCAGAGCCAAGACCACCACGACTGCTTTCTTGGATCAACACACTGCTATGGCCGGCATCTCCAGTATGGACAGAAACAACCCATCACTCTTCCGCCGCGCCACCCAAGCCATTACCCAAACACTCGACCTTACCGACCAAAGAGCTCATCGGAACGCGCCAAAAGCGCCATCAAACTGGAATGACCACGCCCATCGACGTTACCTCGTGAAGATCTGGGACAGCGTTAACGACGTCACGGCCAACTCTTCAAAATATCCCAAGTCAATCACCGCTCAGCTGCGTGGGAACTCAGCTAGACCAGATGCGTGAACATGTTCCCGAGCGAGGGCGAAGTCGGGCTGAGCCGTGAGTTCATCGAGTACGTCTTGGGAGTGGCACTTCGCCACCCATTCTGCACGCAGGAGAAGATGGGTCGCTGGGAGGTCCTCGCTTCTAGTGGTTCGCAAAGGATGAACTGGGGTCCTTGGTGAAGAAGTGCTCCATCATAAGCTGGCTGAAAAAGAACCGGTCAGCAACCCTAACTCGAACATCCTGGAATGCAGCTGCTCTTGGCGCTCAACAAGGCTACTTATTAGTGATTTCAACATCGGCATCAGCAAGCAGCCAGCAAGCAAGCGCCTTTTCTCTCTGAATTCCTCTTTGCATGGCGATAGAAGGAGCATTGTGGAGCCGGATATATGAGCCCTTTCGGAAGTGGAGGAACGGATGATATGATCATTAGGAGCATGAATGGCATGACGGACGATATGCAATTTTTGGTCCTAGGATGAATCTCTGGCATGAATTTTAAAAGCCAGGATTCGGTTAAGCACTGCTCCTCTCAATAGGCTTTTGAAAGATTCAAAATATCTTTCACGAGGTCGTCAACGCTGTGACCAGCGGGACAATCCTTCCACTCTCCTCCATCCCGAATACAGCGGATTTTGTTGTCCAATCGTACGGTACAACTCTTCGTGACGCCGGCGCTCGACGAGCGGTTGAACGAGGCCTTGAGAAGGTCCACGGATAGTGCCCCATCTTTACTGATCGTACACGCCTGTATCTGATCCATATCAAGACCATGCTCCAAGGCACAATCCTCGATCAACGCCCGTTCCGGAATCCGTTCATACTCTCTGGTAAGACACATAGTAAATCCGAGATCTAGCCATGCATCATTAGCAAAAAAGTCCGACAGCTCAAATAAGAAAAGCAGCAAGCAAGCAAGCCAAGTGAGTGACATGAACGAAACAAAAAACCACGTACAAGTTTTCGCATCCGGATACTTCTCAGCAGCGCAAAGTTCAATGATATTCCCCAAACACTCTTCCTGTCCATGTTTACACTCCACCCCATCGTCATTCTCCGTCGCATTTCCAATATAACTTAACCGAAAATCTACTTTGTCCCCGACGCGTTGCATCGTCGGTAAAATCAAGTCATGCAGACAGTCTTTTGCGTCCGGGCATTTTGACATGATGTGTGCTTCCAGAGGGACTTTTCTTGCAGGAGTCGAGTCGGAGGATACGACGATTATTGTGCCGTATAGGAGGGTTGTGAGTAAGAGGGCTGTGACGGAGAACATGATGCGTTTGTGCCACTTCCCTGAGGTTGCGCGGGACCAGGCGCGCATGTAGGCGCGTTGGGCTTCGAGGGCGGTTTTTCGGAGGTCGAGGAGGGAAGGTGTGGGTTCGGGCTCGGTCCTGCTTGGTGGTTGGGGGAGGAGGGGTTGCTTTTCGGGATCCATGTTGGGATTTTGGATTTGAATTTGCGATGTGTGATGGATGGATGGATGGATACTGAGGTTTGATGGGTTGATGTGGTGCTTTCAACTTTCAAGGAAGTTAATTGAGATGTGGCGATACGGGATTACTCCCGCTTCGCGAAAGTGTGAGTGTATCGTGGCTGTTTGGGGACTAGTGTGTTTTCGCGACCAATGAATATTTTTGCTGCCATGTCGCTCGTCTTCGACTCTCGCACAAATTTATTGATTGTGATGGTTATGTGATATACTCTGGCACAAACATTTGAAATATGACGCGTGCTCTCATATCAAGCTTCTGCTGGGTCGCCGCGACAATTGAAACAAGAAATGTGGCTCAAACATTAGACCCAAAGCTTTCGTACGCATGAAGGAGTGTCCAGTGAAAGGGCTGCAGGACTGATAAAGTGATTGCAATCCTGCAGTCTAGCTTCGTCGACTGACTTATAGGACAGTATGTAATGTCCATCGTAGACGGTCCGAGGAAGAGGAGGAAAATGTGTCCTCTGAGTACAATTTTCGCTCTGCAGGTATGACACTGCTGTGGATTCCTGAAAGGCTTCTCCAGATATCTTGCTCTAAAGGACACGAGCTGCAGGTTCAACCATTCTACCATGATGAATGTCCTCCCGAATGACGAGATAGTACTCAATGTCTGCACCATCTATCCGGAAAACAGTATAGGTGCAGCGTACACCCTGCCACGGCCAGCCTGTGGTATACTCGTACCAAGCCTGTAGGTCTTGTGGCCTCGACCTAAGTCAAGAGTGAACACCTTGAAGAATTTATCATGTCGGCGCACTCAAGCTCCGCCGGCGAAAGTACGCGAATGTGATTGTGTAACCCGAGCAGTCCTCGCAGCAGTGCGTCCCTGCTGGATAAATCAGTGAGTATCATTCGATACCATCAGTCGTTATGAAAGGGTGCGCTAGCTCAAGATCATATTGTGTTGTAGTTTGTTCCTCATCAACACCCGGAGGTATATGAGTGGTGCATGAAACTGATGCTAATCATGTCAAGCTGAGAGAAAGGAGACATGAAGGACGTACCTGCAATGCTGATGGACCATGTCGAGACAGCAGTGATTCCTTGGCCAAGCTTAGACAGGAACAGCTAAAGGTGCGTCCAAGCATCTTTCATCCAGTCATGATCACATCCTTGCCCTTACCTTTAGCGGCTGGCGGTGCTCCATTGGCAGTCTCGGGAAGCTTGCTCAACTTGAGCTCTATCGCTTCCTTCACAGCATCTGCCAGCACAGTCCTGGTCATGACCGATGCTTTCACAGCATGGTCAATCAACGTCTCAGCCTCGGCAGCAGCCTCGCCTTTCATCCACATTTCGGTGATCTCATCCCTGCTCTGGAGGTAGCCTACCACACAAGCGGCCTTAATGTCCTGCTCGGGAGGCGAAGGATCCAGGATGTATTCATGGCCACCATTGGAGTTGACCAGTGCAGCGACCCCTCCAGATACCAAATCCACACAGTCAATGCCAGCATCTGCCAGAGCCGCACTCGCCACCGTGATGCAACCAGCGAGCACACTCATCATGCCCCAGCCGCCAGTCTTGCCGCCCTGCGAAGGCTCAGCCCAGAAACCATCTTCCTCGCCTTCGAGCACAGTAATGACGACCTCGCAACCGCTCTTCGGCCAGCGGTCACCAATGATGACGCCTCTCAGAGCAGTCTCAAGATGCACGCCGAGATCTCGTTCCGAAGAGTCCCGCACGTACCCTCTTCGCTGCCGCGTTGCAAAAGGCGCGAACTTGACATGAGTGGTCAAGAGCAAATTCGGGCTAAATGCTGCATTTCTGGGAAGTGGTCTGGGTCCATGAACTGTGCAGGTAATTTTCAGATTCGATGCGTCTGGTGTCAAGAATTGCTTTGCCTCTGTCGGTGGATGTGGTGAGATCTCATAGTATGCACTACCGCTTGCCGATGGCACCACGCCAGTCCGAAGAAAGATTTTGCGGTGTTCGTCTGGCTTTCGCGTGCGCCTCGGCCGCTGGATCTGAGAGTCCTTGGGTGTAATGAATACCGGAGGTGCTGTGCCTCCAGCAGGCGCGTTAATTCGGCGCCTGTCTGCTTGCATTGTTACCGTGAAGGAGTGGTGGATGTCATGGCTGAGGTTTTGCTTGGCTTTGACGACGTGAAGTTCGTTTGATGCAAAATTGATGGACGCGGGTCCTTGCATGCAGCAAGTGCGCGGTGGCGCCGGGAGTGTGGCTCAGCACTCGATCGTCATTGCAGTCACGAGAGCAACAAGGCGGCAACATTCGCGCCTCCTTGGAGTGAACACACTCCTCTTCGATACGCCTACAACGTATTCTTGGGCACCACAGAACAAGCAAAAACTATCGCAGCAGTCAAGATGTGCGGCTCCGACGTATTCCTGGGCATCATCGCCATCCTCTTCCCTCCACTGGCTGTGTGGTGAGTTACTCTGTTCTTTACTTATTTGCAGAACGATCTTGAGACTGACGACAGTAGGGTGAAGAGAGGCATCTGCAGCGCCGACGGTATGATCAACATCGCCCTGTGCTGTTTGGCGTATCTACCAGGCCTCCTGCATGCGTGAGTAGTCACCATCGGCATGATTCACAGCATATGCTAATGCCAAATCACAGCTGGTATATCATCGCCATCACACCAGATCCAACGTACGAGCAAGTCGCACAGCACGATGCCGAGCGAGGCACCATAACGTATTACTACGTCCAGACCGACGCACCACGATACGCGCCGAAGCCACCACGCGGCGGTCAACCACGAAACTATGGCACTGCCAGCTCAGCAGCGGCACCAAACGCCCAGTTCCCACAACCACAACCCCAGCCGCAACCTGCTCCAATTCAGGCAGAGGCCGGACCGAGCGATGACGCTCCACCACCTTCATACCAGCAAGCGACAGGCGATAATAAGATTCAGGGACCTTAGATCCACTTTGCAAGAGAGCTTGTATTGGTGTGCATACGATTGGACGAGCATTGGATATCATGATCATGGCTATAACCGCGTCCCGGAGTAGGTGCAGAAGGCAAGCATCGCGGGTAGGAGTGTATGTAAGTCGCTACAACAGGTAGCCATATCTCTCGTACTATTTCACCAAGTCAGCGCCTCTACCTCCTGAGCCAATTCGCATTTGACTGTACAACTGAGATGCTACCAGCGCATCATGTGGGATGACTCAAGACCAGGGTATTTTAATGTGGTCTCTCACAGGACGAGTCTCGAAACACGATACCACATAACCGGACGACTACACTGTGGTCACATAAATCCTCTCCCTCTCCCTCTCCCTCCAAATCTACGACGCTGCCATCATCCTCCCCAACATCATCATCTGCCAACGCTCCTCCTCGGACTCAATCCTCCCACCAACCCCTTCTTTCTAAGACTGCATTGGGGCGTGTTTTGAGATTGAGGAGAGTGAGGGCGAGGAGGGGAAGGGAAGGTTGAAGGTGAGGAAGGTGTAATGTTGGTTTGTATGGTCATGTCACAAGGTGGAGAGACGTTATGGGTATGAGGGAAGAGGGAAGAGGGAAGGCTTTGAATTTGAGGAGACGGGAAATAAGAATGGGTGAGGGGCGAGAGAGGTGTAATGCTGGTGTTTAAATATTCATGTCACGGATGGTGTCAAGTCTTTCTCGCCAGCACCGCTAAATGCACTTGGGCAAAGTACTTTGGGGCCCGTGGTAGCTCTAATGCAATTAAGTCCGTTTCTACGCCACCCGCTCATCTGAGCAGCATCCTCACCGCGCCAGTGTCCTTTCTTAGCATGGAATTCCAGACCTTCTCGCCAGAACCAAGACCAGCTTCATAATCTCGTCGAATAATGGAGGCTCAGGCCTCTCTCCCAGGTACGCATACCAGAAGTACCCTCGATAATGCATGGCCACCTTCCACTGAACGTTTCTCTCAGCACCTCTCATCACGCGCATGCGTCTCCAAGAAGGAGGATAGAAGTTGTGTAGCTGCTGGGCCCAAGTTTGACTAAATTTGGACCGATGTGAGGCGTCTCCGGTCGGATAGTACAGGACCGTGTATGAATTGGTCGACGATGAGTAAGGTTGAATGAAGAGGTCGAGCTCGTTTCGCAGCCAGGTGATGAGTGGGTCGAGGTCGGATGGGTGAAGCAGAAAGTGAATTCCAGCTTCATGAGGTGGTGTTGGGCTGTACCAGAGTGCGCGCTGCAGATGATCTGAACTGGTTACGGCTTTGAAGATCCTGCAGACGCGCATGCAGCGGAGTAGGGTGCGGACGTCTTGAATGTGGAGGAGAATGCGTTTTAGGAGGCAGCTGTCGTTGTACTGCAGGACTTTGAAGAGCGGACGACGGTAATGGACTAGTGCGCCGGGGACGTTCGCGCTGCGAAGCGGTGTTAGCGAAGACAATGGCGATTATTAGGAGGTGGACATACATTTTGTTATATTGGTGTTGGAGGTATCTTTTGCATGTTGGAGAATTTATCGTACGTGGAAGAAGTGGGCCTGGGACGGCATTGCTGAATGTGGGCCGGCGAGACGGTGGCATCCAAGTCGTTGGCGGCGCCGGCATGATTGCCCGCTGCATTTTGGCTTGCTGTGGTGTTGTTATTTCGATTTCATGAAGTTCTGTGTTCAATACTGGAGTCGCCGCGGAGTGGCCGTTGAATTGGCTGCACTGAGGCCCGTGCCTGCTTCACATGGAAGGCGCGCCTACTTTCGATTTGTGATGTTGGATATGATGCACTTGCTACGCGCTCCTAACAACTCGACCATAACGAAGTGCCAGACTCGCCCAGTCGGACCAGGATGTAAATCGGAAAGGCCCTTGTGTCATTGTCACGGCCGACTACACTCGCGCCTGATCAAGGAACGTCACGCATCTGATGAAGATACCCAATCCTTCCAGGCTGGATTTCTAGCTTCAACGTAATCTTTGCTCTGGATGCTCCTCCTCAAGCCCACAATCCCCGGGACCGGCCATACATTCTTCAGCTTCTTTAGCAGACCAGCAGACCCCTTCGCCTTCCTATCCGCCTGAAGATCCACATGAACTTTCTCCCACACGCTTGGCAGATTCGTGGCATGGTACTTCTTTCGCAGCGACTCATACCAGGAGCGATCAAAGTCTTTCCAGAACTCGTCCTCGGGAGAGTATGTCTGGGCATATAGCCACTTCATACCTCGCAGCTCCTGCAATGTAGCTTCAATGCTTCGATTTACATTTACGAAGCCTTCATGAGTGGGTGGAGCTTTGCCCCAGAGGCCGATGTTGAGCATTGGCTTGAGCGTCTTGCCATCTGCTTCCCATGCTTCGTAATGAGGATGCATGGTTGGGGGAAGGCTCTGCTTGAGCGGACAAAGCCATAATGGCCAGATTCCTGTCAGCTTGTCCATGCGAGTGACGAACTCTGCGGCGGTGTCATAAGGTAGAGCGAGGTCCTGAATAATCATTTGCTCGCTTCGACCCGATGCGTGTAAGGCATTGTAAAGCATGCGCGTGTGCAGGAAGTCGTCTAGCCAGCTTCTAGACCAGTTGTTGAAAGGGAACCTGAAGTAGTCAAAAGGCGCTTGACCTACCCAGAATCCACCACGATCGTAGCGGACTGCAATCGGAACGACTGATCAGCAAAGTGCTTGAGCAAGAAGGGTACATGCGAAGAAGCACACTTACAAAGATAGTCTGGGAGGGGTATAGCATCTGAGGTCGGCTGAGTTGTGGTCGAGATCTTGTCCTTGACGTAGAGGTAGAACCAAGGATCTTTAGCGTTGCTGAATCGTCGTATTTCCATGCCAGTAGAGGGTGTATCAGTCATTCGTCCTGTGACAATGGCCCCACTTGTCTGCGAATACATGATGCCATCAATGTAATCAAAGTCCTCTGGTCGAAATGTAAAATCCTGAAGCTTGACTATAGCATCCTTCATACTATTGACAGGGTGGTAAGTGGCTTCGACAAACCTCGTCGCCTTGACGAGCTGTATCTCAGCCATAGTTATCACGCCAAGAGTCCCTACAGCGCCAGCAGCGCCTCTGAACAAGTCTGCATGCCGCGCCTCTGAAGCCGTGACCACGTCTCCGTCAGCCAGCACGATCTCAACTTTGTTCAGCGTTCGATCAAAGAAGCCATGTTTGAAGCTTGAGCTCTCGCCGGCAGTACCAGCATATCCTCCTCCAACTGTGATGCCAGGAAACTCCATGACGACTGGAGGTACAAGACCATACTTCAACGTCTCCTCCACCAGTCTGTCCATCGGCACGTTAGGCTCGACTAATGCTGTTCTCCGGTCGACATCCACAGACACAACATGGTTCAGCCTGCTCGTATCCACAACCGTATTGGGGTCTTTGCCCATCGCTGACTTTCTAGTGCTGTTTGTGCTTCCATGATATATCCTAAACTTCTCTTTCCGCTCATAGAACCCTCGTACTCGCTCTGATATTTGGTCGACTTCGCGTTGGTGTGCTTCGAGTGTCGTCGGTGCGGTGCCACCTCTTGTGAGAAGACTTCGTCGCTGCTTACACGACCCATTGAAGTTCTGCGCTACGAATCGAAATCGACCTCGTGTCAATGTGGATTGCTTGCGGCGTGAAAGTGCATTCAGAAAAGGAAATCCACTTCCCCTAGCCTTGACCAGACATTGGGAACAAATGAAGCCATCAGCCACTGCTCTGGCCCTTGACGCTGACTTCATTGCCTCAGGCTGGACGTATGTAGATGAATGGTCAATGGCACCTACATCGATTCTATGCGCGTGAAAGACTTCAAGGTTGCGGTGATGGGAGCACGCGCCATCAGACCTTCGAGATCTGCGCAGGGATCCCAAGATTGAGTTGCGGCTGTCCCGCTGCAACACAAGAGAAGGGGAGGAGAGAAGTTCGGACTGCATCACCCTACGAAGAATAACTTGACTGACTCTTGCTGGAGTCCGATTGTTGTTGTAGTCGACCTCGAACAGCGCAATCATCATCTGGCACTGGCCTGTTCTCTCGTATTCTCCGGCGGTCCGAGCCAGCTGCTCACCATGTCCCAGATGTTCGCATTGATGCCCTTCCAGTGTTACGAATCGTACCTATTGGCCTGAAGAGGGGGCAAATGCCACGAAGCAGGCGTGAAGAAAGAGGTTCTCTTGGCTCAACCATCCACACAAAGCTGCGCTTACCCAGCCGGCATCGATTGGTCGCAGCGTGCTAATGAAAGTTTCCAATCCGTTTCCAAGTCCTTGAGGAATCACCGTCCTAATTCTGCCGTCTGTACTGGTCAAGGGCCAGACCGATCAAGCCGTCACTCCACTAGAAATGTGCCAGACGACCCTGACCAAAGACATCGAACCGGACTCAGACGGGCCCTTGGCCAAACGAGCGCGACTGGAGATGGCAAGTTGTAATGCAAAGTCATTGGTGGCTACGTCGATGGCATCCCCATCCCCACTGGTTTGGAGCGGATTCTGTGATTTACCAAGAGAGCTGCGAGACATGATCTATCTTGAAGACGCCGAAAACAATCCACCACTTCTCGTACGCTGCAAAAGACCGTATCTCACCACACTTTCGCCGCTGGCCCTCGCAAACCAGTCCGTACGAGCAGAAATGTTTGAAACCGTCTTGGCACGCTCGCGCAGAGTGATTGCCCCCGTTCGGAACTTCGACTTCGCCCATGTTGTAGCATTTCTGAACAAGTGCTCTGCACATCTATTGGCGCAACTCTCTCGAAGTGCCGCCGCGAGGAGACCCGAACGTTCGATCCTCATCAAATTGGACTACTTGCCGCAGCTACTGCAAAGCAAAATACGCATTCACAGGGATCTTCATCGCTGGATCATACGCGCATCGAGCTCAGTGAAGAATGGCGCTGGGATCGACTTTCAATATCACTGCGACATCACCAGCAAGAGTCCCGTCCCCCTCGGGCCCGCCGACGCCAGCGCTATTGTCTTCTTTTTGATGAAGTACGAAGATGTTAAGGTCTGGCATCCTCGGTCAATTAAAGAAGCGAACAAGATCTCAGAAGCTATGAATCAAGCCGCTTCACAAGCCTACGATATGTGGCTTATTCGCAAGCGCAGAAACAGTGAGCAAGACGCCCGCATCAAAGCTAGGGCACAGGCCGAAGTACTGCAGCAGTAACTCCAATTGCTGATGGGCAACCTGCATCCAACAATCGTCCGAAACGTCTCTGCCATAGCCTAACCATTGGAGTGATTTCCAGCTTCTTTGCACACTCAGGACAGGAGCAAACAGTCTATCTCGGGATGCTTCGACACTGATGCCAGCTTTACTACAACGTCGAGACGGTTACAAGAGTGCTTTCACACAAGAGGCGCTTGGAGGAAGTCTTCGATCCTGATTTGGAGTCGTGGTGTAGATATCAAAGTTGGTTTAGATGGAATCTGTAAAGAAACTTGACAGGCTTCGAAGCCAGGTGTTCCCTTCTATGTTCAGCAGACTCGACTTGCGTCCGAAATTATTTGAATTCAGGCAAGACCTTCGCGATAGCATGTCATTTTGTGCAAACTTCACGGGACAGAAGCCCCGATTCTCGCTCTTCAAGCGCATCCGTCATATATGTCCACGGGCAGCAATCCGTTCTTTTCATCCGGGAAAGCAAAGCGCGCAAAATTTATCCAGGAACTCCACAAGCGGAGTGACAGCGGATCGGCCTTTCAGCCTAGCCAATGCAACGCCTGCGATATAGAAACAATTTCGGGCGAATGTCGATGAAGCACTTGCGGAAGATGTGGACGGAATTCGACAGCGTGCAAGTGCAAGTCATGTGGCTGGGAGGCTGACCGGCCGGCCGGCAAGCTTTCACGGATGACACTTTAGCGGGGAGTTTCGCAGCACGGCATCGATACAAGGGAAGTATTCTTGCAGCAACAGCAGCCTCCGACTCTATTAGCCGTCCTCGAGCGTGGACAGCTCCAGAAATCATCATGGCTGATTCAAAAGGTAGGTCCTCTCCCCCCTTCATACCCTCTCTTTTCGAGTTCCTCGTCAATACCATCTTCACTATCTCTCCTCTGGCTAGATGCAAGCGTATCGGTCGCTAGGCTGTTGGTACTGTCTACCATCCATTTATCACATTTAGTACTCGATCGCAAACTGTCGGCAATATACCCAATACTTCTCCGAATAGAACACTTCCTCAGAAAGCCTACACGATGCCTATCGAGAATTACGATATCGTCATAGTCGGCGCTGGGCCTGTGGGCCTGCTCCTCAGCACCTGTCTCGCAAGATGGGGCTACAAGATCAAACACATCGACATGCGACCCGAGCCGACCTTGACCGGACGCGCTGATGGCATTCAGCCGCGATCGCTCGATCTGTTACGGAATATGGGCTTGAAGCGCGATATCATGGCGAATGAGCCCGCGAAGGTTTACGAAGTCGCATTCTGGGATCCTCAAGATGGCGGCAAGGGCATTCACAGAACAGGAACCTGGGCATCATGTCCAAAGTTCATTGATGCGAGATATCCATTTACAACGCTTTTACATCAGGGGTTGATTGAGAGAGTCTTCATCAAGGATATTGAGAAGCATAATACAAGGATACAACGGCCGTGGAGGATCACCGGCTTCAAGAACGATGGAAAGGACCCGACATACCCTGTAGAGGTCAGCATCGCGCATGTTGATGGCGATGAGCAGGAGACCGTCAGAGCGAAGTACCTGTTCTCTGGCGAAGGTGCAAGAAGTTTTGTGAGAGAACAGCTCGGAGTGGGCATCACTCACAAGGATCCGATCGCGTATGTCTGGGGTGTCATGGATGGTGTCGTGAGGACGGATTTTCCAGATATCAAGGTATGAAACCTGGAAGCTGCGATATGTGAAACTGCTGACAATGATTAGATGAAATGCACAATCCACTCAGACGCCGGATCCATCATGGTTATTCCACGCGAGAACAACATGGTTCGTCTGTATATCCAGATCGCATCATCCACAGACCCGGATTGGAACCCACGAAAACAGGCCACAACAGAGGAAGTCCAGGAACATGCTAAGAAGATCCTCAAGCCATACTACATCGAGTGGGATCGCGTAGAATGGTACTCAGTCTACCCCATTGGCCAAGGCATCGCAGACCGATATACTTTGGATCAGCGCGTATTCATGGGTGGCGATTGCTGCCATACTCATTCTCCCAAGGCCGGTCAAGGCATGAACACTGCATTCCTTGACGCACAAAATCTAGCCTGGAAAATTCACCACGTCGAATCTGGCTTCGCTGATCGCTCAATTCTCACATCTTACGAAAGTGAACGCAAATACGTTGCAGAGAATCTCCTCAATTTCGATGCCAAGTACGCGAAACTGTTCTCTTCCCGGCAACCTTCTGCCAGCGAGCGCTCCTCCGCCTCAAATCAGAACGCAGGCAGCAGCGACAACGAAGAAAATCCTTTCATCGCCACCTTTAAAGAGTCATGCGAATTCACATCAGGCTACGGTGTTGCATATCTCGAGAACATCTTCAACTGGTCAGAGTCACATTCTGCGAAATCGCCGCTCTTCCTCTCAGAAAAGAACCAGGGAACAAAGCTCCGTACTGGCCGCATTCTCACTCCAGCTACTGTGACAAGGGTCGTTGACGCCAATGTGGTCCACCTCGAACAAGAAATTCCTCTTAATGGTTCATACCGGATATACCTCTTTGGCGGCAAACCATCTACAACCAAACAAGCCATCTCTGATTTCGCCTCAAACCTGAAGAAGAAGGGTTCGTTTTACTCTGCCTACCAACGCTCCGACATCGATAATGTTGACTACCACGAACGACACAATCCTCACTCCTGGTTCTTCACAATCAACACAATCTTCAACGCGCATCGCCCAGAAATCGAGATCAGAGATCTGCTCCCTGAGGTGCTGGCGAGGTACACAGATCATGTCTATGCGGATGATGTCTGGGATCAGCGCGTTCCTGAAGCTCAGGCTGCTGCGCATGCTAAGATGGGTCTAAGTGAGGACGAGGGTGGAGTTGTGGTTGTGAGGCCGGATGGATATGTGGGCTGCGTCGTGAAGCTTATAGAAGGCAGTGGGACTGTGGATGCCCTGAACGAGTACTTTAGTGCTTTTTGCACGAAGAAGATTGGAGGGGAGGCAGCGAGGCTGTGATGCGAATGGGATAATTTTGCCATGGAGCTGCACAGATGATTCTTTTCTCAGTAGATACCACGATTTCCCAGCTAGCGAATGCAGCATTAATATGTCATCTCCACAGCATTTTCAATAGTCCCATACACCAGTAATTATTCGCGGAAAGAATGTCACAGAACTGTTCCTGATGTTCTTATCGATAAGCCGAGTACGCAGTCCTTGAACGTAGCTCATCAACTTTCACATCTCAAGCTTCGTTTCTCTTTCCCTTTCACAACAACACCAATCCGATACCCTCGCCCGCCCGGGCCGCAAACTCTACAATGGCCATCTACATCGCAGCGCAGGCGCTCTTCGATGGCATTGACTCTGTTCCATACCTCTGGCCTCTCCTCAAGACTTTACCATGGCTCTTCCTGTTCTGGCTGGTGAAGACCTATTTTCAGGGAGCGAAGACGCTAGCCGAGAGGAATATGCATGGGAAGGTCGTGATAGTGACTGTAGGCTTATCTCTCCACGGCTTTCGTGACAGTCTTAGGCTAATCACTTTTATGCGTACCAGGGTGGCACATCCGGTGTAGGCGAAGCCACTGTCCGCGCTCTGGCAACTCGTGGCGCGCAAATTGTTCTTCTGACCCAACACTCGCTCTCAGACCCATTCATCGTCGATTACATCGAGGACATGAGGCACGAAACGAATAACCAGCTCATCACGGCCGAGCAAGTCGATCTTGCATCCCTACACAGCATCCGAACCTTCGCGACGAAATGGATTGATAATGCTCCACCGAGGAGATTAGATATGGTCATTCTGTGCGCGAACACAATAACGCCAGCAGGGAGCAAGATGGCAAGCACAAAAGAGGGCGTGGAGGTGAACTGGATGGTTAACTACTTGGCCAATTTTCATCTGCTCAGTATCTTGAGCCCGGCGTTGAGAGCCCAGCCTCCGGACAGAGATGTGAGAGTCATATTTGGAATGTGCGGAAGCTGGGTCGGAGGGGATTTGCTGCATATGACTCAGCCTGTAGAGGCAAGCAAGAGTAAGAAGAAGAATGCGGCCTCGAAGCAACGTCCGACGAAGTTCTCGCCTGGGAACGCATACGCTACAAGTAAGCTTGCGCTGATGAGCTTTGCACTTGCATTTCAGAAGCATCTCTCTTCGTATCAACGTCCGGACAAAGTGCCTATGAACGCCAAAGTCCTGCTCGCAGATCCAGGATTCTGCAGAACGCCAGGAACAAGACGATGGCTTTCAAGAGGGTCTCTACTCGGACTACTGATCTATCTCCTCACCTACCCTCTCTGGCTACTAGTCCTCAAATCTCCAGAAATGGGAGCGCAAAGCTTCTTACATGCTGCCATGGAAGAGTTCAAAGAAGGTGGTTTTCTGATCAAAGAGTGCAAAGAGCGGGAGTTTGGCAGACAGGATGTGATAGATGAGGAACAGCAGAAGAAGCTTTGGAAGTACAGTGAGGAAATGGTACAGGAGGCAGAGAAGAGAGGGAAGGAGGTCAGAGATAAGGAGAAGAGAGAGGACCTTGACAGGAAGGAGGAGAAGCAGGCGGAAGCTGAGATTCGAGAGTATAAGGAGAAGGTGGGTAAGAAGGGCAATAAGAGAGGGTGAGATGTTGAACCGGCGCGCACATGGTCAAAAAGCGGTAAAGTGAGAGCCAAGCACGGACCTTATCCATCGTCACATGCATAGTGCCAAGCCGCGCTTTCCACTTTCAGCTTTATGCAAACCATCATCGCGACACACTCGACACTCCGCAACCTGCCATCGCACATCTCGGCAGACAGAATGGAACCACCAGGAAACCCGAGCAAGGTATGGCGCCGAGTCAAGCGACATTGCTGATACCCTACTGACCTTGTTCCCAGTCCACTATCGCGGCCGCGTCACCAGGTGTCAACGCTGATGAGAGCACCGCCAGCTACGAAGCATGTCACAAGACATTACACACCGCTGAGCTGCTCGAAATGATCTTGCTCGGCGTCGATGACCTCCAAGCCCTTTTGCTCGCTCAGCGAGTCAATCGAATGTTTCAGGCTACGATCGCAACCTCGAAGCATCTGCAAGAGAAGTTATGGTTCGAGGCCAAGGATGACGAAGGCACCAAGCCAAATGAGCTTGGACATGCTCGTCGCCAAATCCATGTCATTGACGACTACTATGGGCATCACCCCAATGCACCTCCGCTTCCTCCAGCGCCACCAAATACAACCTTCAGCTCTCTTTTCAAGAAGCCAATTGACGTTTCGAAAGGCCGATTTCTCCAATTCGTGGATCGCGGCAAGGGCCATTGCCGAGATCACACGATCGTTCTTCACCGCAACGCGTTTTCTTGCGATGAAATGAGTCGGACCTGGCGCTCCATGCTATTCAAGGGCTTTGGCAATCACGACGGTTTGATACGCCTTACACTACTTCCGGAAGATGAAGATCACACTGCTCGAATCAGCCATGCAGAGGGCACATTGCAGCGCCTTATCGACGATTTGCGCTTGGCCGTGGCAAAAATGTAGGGCTGAGTGGCATCACTCGTCGTTCCCTAGCAGACAACTGCACCTGCATATCTTTCTCCTTCGTCAGCCACCGAAACTCATTTTGATCATTGAAATTCGCACGAAACCTCACATTAGGCAACACTTTCTTCTCCTCATGCGACAATCGTGCAAAGCTCACTTGAGCAAGTACAAGTTTCCGATGCCCGCTCCCTCTCTTATTTCCTTCTTACACCAACGAAAACACCACTTAAAATCACGACACTTCACGGCGATGGCACTGGCTCAGGACGAGAACGAGTCACCCCGCGTTGCGGCTGCGAAGGTCAATGTCTCCGATTCCGCAAGATGCTGTCAGTGCTGACATGGCAATAGGTGTTCGGCATTGCTGAGCTGGCTGAGATGATTCTGCTCGGTGTGGATGATGCTCCTACTCTAGCCCACGCCAGACGAGTCAACAAGATGTTCAAGGAGATTTTCGATAGAAACCTGAAGTCTCCATACCTTCAAGAAAAACTCTGGTTCAAGCGTGAGGAGAACACGTCGACGTTTAATGAGGTGGACTCGAACAGTGAGAATGAAAGTTCCGAAGGAGAGGATTTGGAAGAGCATGGATCATTGCTTGGTCCCGAAGACATCGAACTTAATCCATGGGTTGCTCGAGGCTGCATAGCTGGATTGAGTCTGCAGTACATGAAAGACTCAGCGGAGATGGATATTTGTTGCCTCGAAGATACTCCGGTCGTAGTCATGACGGTTCACAAGAGACTTGGCCAGACTTGGAACGAATACAAGTGGTGGGACAAAATGGAAGTCTGCCGAGCTAGGAGCAAGGCACGGAAAGGTCAGACTTTTGCTTACATTACCAAGTTTCGCGGAGAGTCGCACATTGTTGGCGACGTGGAATTATGGTGGGCGCAGGACCGCAATTTGAAGGAGATGGTCTCCGAAGCCGTTTGGGGCCTGCAGGATGCTGCAGTATAGAGCCGGAATCATTCCAGAGCTTGAAGGCATGCTTTTGGGCACTGAACGGCACACGATCTTCGCTGCGTGCTAGGAAGTATGCAGGTTATTGCGAGGAAGTGACCTGCTAGATGCGGTATGATTGGCACACCGGAGAAGAGAGGTGACTTGACTCAGCAGATCTAGCAGGACAATTGAGCTTAGATCGCTCGCCATTCTCAATGACCCAAAGGCTGGAATCTGACCTTCGATTCCCATCGTCTCACATCAATCGTCTTCATGCCTTCTTTGATGGCTCGTGAGGAGATTGCCAACAGCGTTCGCACTTCAATGAGACCCGCTTGGCGACTACGATGGCCTATTGGTTGTGATCGCTGGAACGCTTTCGATGCCAAAAGAAAGTAATCTGGTTGCGCTACGGTCGAGAGCACACGAGGTCTATGTATACTGACCAAGAATGCGAGGGTGGTGAACCGCTACGGCGGCTAGGTTTGCAGCGGCGGCTTGTCCACTTCTATAGTTGTTTGTAGGCCACACATGGACCGCTAAGAGGTCTAATTTCGAGCCAATTTGAAGCCTTATAATCGCATAGTATAGGCCTGCTTATAATAAAGCTAAACTAGACCTTATATAGCGGCTATTTCTACCTCTTATTTATCGACCTATTCTACCTCTTCTTCGCGGTTACGTATCGCGCTTGTTTTAACCTTACTATCGCTATATATACTAACTATTTATCGCCGGAAGAGGTAAACGCGTTGCTTAGTAAGCTAGAGTATAAGTAGCTAGTACGTCGTCTCGTCGTAAAGTAGATAATCGCTAAGGTATTATTATTATCGCAGTTTAAAAGCCCGTTTCTACTAAATATATATTAGTAAAGGCAGACATTCTTCTACCCTTATAACCGTAAATACCGTCTAGAAGTAAATAATATCCGCCTTCTAACTAGCTATATTATCCGTAAGTAGTTAGGCGTATAAATAAGTAGTTTTAAATACGACGAATATCGAGCCTTTACTACTAATATTTAGCTTTTTAAGAGTCGACTAGTAAAGCTATCTATAGATCTAGTAAAGCGGCTATTTTATAGAGTAAAGTTCGAGTGTCGCCTTTATAAACGGTTTATAGACTATTAGCGAGCGGAAATCGATAGGAGTAGTAATAGTAGTAGCGGCGGCGGTAGTAGTAGAGCGAGTAGTCGACGGCGGAAGCGTATCGCTTAGAAGGCGCACGATTACCCTACGAAATTAACTATTATCGAGTTCTACGAGAAGGATTAAAATAGTAATTTAGGCGTATTTCTCGATAATATAATACTAGTAGACTTACCTACTAATGTAACGGTGCTAAGGCCCTCGCGGGTTATTCTACTACCGCTAAACTATTACTGTTCGTATGCTCTCGAGTTTATCGATAGAATATAGGTTAATAATAGTATAAAGGCTATTTAGAAGGAAATACTCGAATTTCGAGTAGGTAAGTATAGTCTATAGCTCTTAGCGGCTTATATTAACCTATTTCTAGGTTCTTCTACCGTTTCCGAGTTAGTAAACGAAATAAGAAGGCCTAAACAAGCGACAGTCTAGCGAGACGCAGGTACTATAAGAATTATACGTAATCGAGTCCGCAATGCTAATAAAGCCGCTATTACTCGAATAAGCGACAAACGTAGGTCTAGCGCTAGCGAGTCGATTTAACGACAGTTATAATAGGCCCTAGAATACTTGAATGCTAAATTCGGCCTATATAGCTATAATCTAACTAGTTAGGCGGAGGCAATCTATTTAGTAGGCGATAAGAAGGGCACCTATTAATCTAGCCTTGTTTAGGCCTCTAACTAGCAACTATAGCTTCTTCGCAACTATAGTAGCTTGTTCTTGCTAGATTCTATATTCAGTATAAACAAACCTCTTTAGCTACTATTTACTATATACGTCCGTAATTAGTATCTCGAGTAGCTTCCGGCTAGTTATATGCTTCTATCTTATAAGTAGGCGCACCTTATTAAGAAGGCTATAAGAACGCTCCGTTCTATAGCTAAAACTAACTTCTAAGTCAAATTAAACTCTTATAATAGCAATAGCTTAACCTACTACTTTAGATAGCCTATATACGTAAGCAAGGCTTCCGATAACCTCTATATAGAACAGTCTAACTAGATACCGCTTTAGTCTATTATAGACGACTCTGCGAGTAAGTAACGTACTATCTAACAAGCCCTTAGCGACTGTTATATTAAACAGCGGCTTCAAGTTTACTAGCGGCACGTTATAAAGACCTTCGAACGGCGGTTTAAGAAGTATCTACTAGCGCTTAAGGCTATATCTAATGCTATATTTATTGCTAGAGACTAAGACGAGTGCTATTACTTTATTAAACGAGCGGCTACTAAGCTCGAGAAGGCGAAGAAGAAGCTAGAATATCTCCGTAACAACTAGCCGGCTTTATAGAGCGATCGATAGGCGACTTAGTTACGGCTTAGAGACCCGCTTTTAATAGCGATTCGGACAACGTTACTACTTAAGGGCTATTACGTATACTTAAAGCGCCGAGACAAGCGTTAAATACGCTAATAGAGCTTGCGAGGTGCGTATTCGTCCTATTCTTATAGTACTATCGAAATCTTATATAAAAGAAGCCTACCCCTATATTCTTTAAAACGGCCGTAAACCCTAGGCCGGCTTTCGGGTACTCCCGCTAAGCTATCTACATTTCTCGACTATGTTTATTCTATATTGTTTCTACTAATAACAAGGCCTATGCTAACTATTATTAGGCTTAGTAATGCACCTAGTATAGCTAGACAACTATATATACGAGCGCGCGCTTTAAAATAGCTAAATCGACTGCTAGGGCTAGCTTCCGCTTTAGAAGGAGGAATCCTACTTATCCTTTAAGAATCTACCGCTTTCTATATAGAAGAAGATAGCCGATAAGCTTATATAGGCTTATAAGGACCGTAACAACAGCAAGCCTATCTAGCGGATATGTCTACCTACTATAGACGACACCGCTTACACTAAATACTTCTACTACTTCTAGTATAGCTACTATCTTCCTTATAAGTATATTTAGCGCTTCTATATCGATAAAACGAGCTATCTAACTGCTTAGCGCTATAGGCTCTATATTAGTCGCTTTTAAGGACCTAATAGCAACCTAGTCTATCTAAACTAGTATAATAGCAAGCTAATTCTTAACGATAACGACTATCGACCTACTAGATAGCTTGTCGACCTTAATAAGAGTCCTAGTATTTACAAGCTCCGTATAGTAAAGGAATACTTCTATTCTATATAAGAAGGGCTTATATAGACCTTCTTCCGCTTCTATAATAGTTAGGCTTCGAAGCTTAACGACGAATAGCAATACGAAGCCTTACTATAGTAGGTAATGTACTACTCGGAAATAGCTTAATTAGTAATAGACATTTATATACAAGAGTAGCTTAACAAAGGTGCTCCGTAGGCCTATTTAATACCTCGTCGTAAGGCTAAGTAGCGCTTAGTCGACGATAGGCCGCTATAACTGTAAGAAGGGTTATATTAGCAGGTAGATAGGGTAGTAGTAAATTAGTATAGTATTCGATAGAGATCTAAGAGGAGAGGGAGGAAGGCAGGCTAGTTAGCCTAACGCTAAGCACTAAGCCCTACCTAAGGCACTAAGACCCTAGCTTTACTCGGCCTAATCATATGCCAATCACGTGTAGCCTCTTTAGCTCTAATATACGCTTCCCTTCTAAAGGCCGCGCCCTCGTAGCCTATCTATATTCTAACCTCGACCTCTATTGCTACTAACTTAGTAGGTCTAATAAGCCGCTTAGTCCGCGCTAAATTAAACGCACAACTGCCGATTATGTAACTATATCAAACCTTACCTCTAATATAGCACAATGTCTAACTCTAACTGCGCTATCCTTATATATAATAAGGTAAAGGGATATAAGGCTACAAGAATTGAGGACTATCGACTAATTATAATACGAGCGCACCTTCCCTGCTATAATAGGTAGGTATATAGGGTATTGCAGCACTACCTCCGCTCTAAGTAATATCGTTTCGAGTTCTTTGCGTCTACTCTAAAAGACCTAGCAATATCCGCTTCCGAGGGTTTGTCCGCTTCCGAGGGTTATTGTTCTTATTATTACGAGGGCTATTATTTACTATCGTAGTTTTACTAGCCCTAATTAGTTAGGTTTAGCAGCCTTTAAGTGTTAACTAATTATATCTTTTCAAAAAACTCAGTTCTTCTAGTTTCTATAGGTAAAGGCTATTATAAGTATAGTAGTAGAGGTTCGCCTCGCTTAAAGGGTTAGATAGATCGAGGAGTAACCTATTGTCCGCAAGATCGACCCCGGCTAGCTTAGCTCTATAGTTTTTGCTTTTAGTTAGTCTATTAGTCGCTTAATCCTTTAGGCGGCTTAAAGTTTTAATTAAAGTTTTGATTAAAGGTGCCTTAGGCTTATAGTATAGGTAAGGTTGTGTCCGTAGGCGTAGTAATAATAGCAAGTAATGTTAATAATAGCGGCGCTAGTCGTTTTAGCGCTAACTTTACCTTACTTTTCGATTTCCTTCTTCGACTAATAATACACTCCGCAATACCGTTACTAATATAGCCGCGTTAGCCGCTAGCGCACTACTAGTACGCGATACTATTACCTTTATTACCGTTATTCGCACGCGCGCGCATATCGCCCTTATCGAACGCTTAGGTCTCGAGGCCTCGATAGAATAAAGAACAAGAGGGGGACCTATAGGGCGTATTAGTAAAGAGGTAGAATCCTCGAAAGAGCAGTCGATTAGTTAACAGTTATAGCGCGTTTGTTAACGCTCGGTGCGCATCCGTTATCGTAGAGTAGTCTTATTGTCCTTTGCTAACAATTGCTTGCCTCCGATTAGTTAGCTTAATAGTACCCCGAGGGTAGCATTATTCCTAGGCTTAGTAGTAACATTATAGGCATTATAAGCTCTTAGCCTTCTTCGTGTTCTTTACGCTAGTCTAATACTTATCTAACAACTTAGTTATATCCTTAAACGAGTCTTTAGCCTCCTACGAGTCCTATTTAGATAAATAGCCTTACTATCTTAATAGGTACTCCTTCTTGCCTTTCCTAGTCCGGTGCTATAGGATACGTTCTATAGACTATAGCTCTTTACTATCCGCTAGTATATCTTCGTGTTTAGTAGAGGCTTTATCCCCCTCGCGTAGGTAATATAGCTTAAGGAGGGATATATAGAAGGTGTTATAGATAGTATAATAAGGAGGAAGCTATAACTAATAGGCCTATACGGAGGAGCCCTTAACTTCTCGAATGCGGAATAGACTAATATATCTTAGTGCGAGCTTAGGCCTTGTTTTACTATTAGGGGATAGGTACTTACGGATGCGGAGGTTCTTAGTACTTAGTATAACTATATCGCCTTGCTTAAAGGTTATCGGTATGTAGTATTTATCGTAGTAGGTCTTCTAATAGGCCTAGGCCTTCGCTAGTTTGTTAGCTATCTTAGCGTAAATCTCTCGCATCTTTTAAACTCTCTTA